CACACGGAAAAGGACAACATTCAACCCCTGGGGTTAGATGATCAATACTAAACAAATACGGGCCGTTGCATCCACACGGAAAAGGACAACATTCAACCCCTGGGGCTAGATGATCAATACTAAACTAATACGGGCTGTCGTATCCACACGAAAAAGAACAACAAATCAACCCCTGGGGCTAGATGTTCAATACTAAACTAATACGGGCCGTTGCATCCACACGGAAAAGGACAACAAATCAACCCCTGGGGCTAGATGTTCAATACTAAACAAATACGGGCCGTCGCCCCCCATCAAGGTTCATCAAAGTTTCAATCAAGATTTGATCGAAACGGTACAGTAAAGTATGATTTATTTGATCGAAAGTACAGTAACATTAACGAATGAATGACGTGATTAAATGTCATGACAATTATTAGAATTACTGAAAATTCCATTTCGACGTAAGAGAATTAAAAAAACAGATCTGTGTTCCTCATAGGCCGTATATTAACTGACACCGACGAGGCCTGCATTTCTGGCCTAAAAAAAAAAAATCCCCAAGGCTGGAAGAGCACAACGCCCTAGCCTTATAACTCTCTCAGCCTCCAGGATCCATGTCCTTGAGGCATGAGCCTAACGCGGCGCGATAACTGCGATAGCCTACAGTGTGACTGCAGGATCTCGACTGAGGCTAAACACTCCTTATCGGCAGAAGCGGGGGCCTATCTGGACAGCAGCGATACAACGTTCCTAGCCTGCCTCACTCACACGGTTCTGAGGCAAGGCATACGCGCTTATTTCTGTAACGCCATATATACAGGACAAAAATACTACACGCTGCGGGCATAAACACTCATCAGGTTGGAGTTGCTTAATCATTTCCTCTAAGACACCAAATGTCACCAATAATGAGGACATTGCGCCTAAAGATCTAAGCTGAAAATTTTCATGTAAATCGCACGCCGAATATGAATGTTGCATATATCGCGAACAGGATTTATATATGTGATGTGGAACATTTTATGTATGCCATAGGACGCTTATTTCTCGTGTAGAAAATTTTTGTATGCGACGCACATTTATATTTCACGGTATTTTCTGATAGAACTTAGTCCCGTTAGATAGTCAAAGTAGCCACATGTTTACTAGCACTTCAGCTATCACGTACAAAAAGTCATGATTAACAACACCCAATGAGGAGGAAGGTCTGAATTATCGAGAGCTTCTGAAATCAAAACTCGTTCATCACCCAAAAAGGGCGGGAGGTCTCAAGCGGCGGGAGACCGCTGTAACCGGCACGAAAGCAGCAGCGTTAGCATACCAAGGAGACGAAGTGACGAGGAGGGACAGGCGAAAAGCAACAGAAACGAAGACACTCTAAATTACAAGAGGTCGCTTACACGGGACGTCGGCCACCAGCACGAGAGAGACAGATAAGAGAAATGTAAGGAATCCTGCCTACATTATAGTAACCCCATAACTGTGACTTGCAGTCAGTTATGGGGTTACTATAATGTAGTAACCCCATGCAGTTACTGTGAACTCTGTGGTGGGGCGCTCAGGACAGGACTCAGACCGGTCATCAGAATAAGCTCAATACGAAAAAATCGTTGAAAACACTTTCCCTCGTTCATATATTGATAACGCTTAGTCACTCATTCGCTCAAGAAATCCTTCACGGTCGCTACTCTAATACTTGGATTCGCATTGATTACGCTATCACTCCTTGTATCGTTGAATTGAACTCACATTCTAGAATATCGTGTAATCCTTACTACCAAATAACCCCTTCGTTCTCTCCACACACATTTATTGTGTCTATTAGCACAGGGAAAAATTATCTGCACCTGCATTGAGAATGAGTGCATGAGTCATGGTTATGGCGTGCAAACAATGCGGTATTTGGCTGACCTAAAAGCGAGATAACAACGGCACTTAAAGTTTATCATAGTTACAGATAAAGCAGTTATTTAGGCGCACGGCCGTAAAAAAAAATAAAAAATTAAGTACCGGTGAGGACTTGAGAATTATGAGGAAACCCGATTTTGAACAACACCTCCAATTAATCAGAAATAAAATTTATTCTGCTAACCTGTTAGACGAGAAAAATACGAGTCACGATCAATATTTTAGCGATGAAATGTATTACTAGCCAGTAATTTTTTCACCCATCCCTGTTCTCACACCAAGACTACTAATAATAACCAACAATTTGCGCGTATCTCCAAGGTATATACGCATTAGAACACCACGCCGTAAATATCACAACCAACTCGAGTTATCGAATAACTCCAAGAAAATTAAAGGAGATGTCTATATTCGATTTCATCTGTGATAAATCAGCACAAAAAAAACTCAACGAAATATTATGTAACTGACACAAGCGGGCGTGCGATTGAAAAGATTTGAATTTACAATTAAATGCCCTAGACAATGAAATAAGTGGAGCCTTTTTAATGCACTTTAGAGGTAAATAATGAACCCCTCCTGATGAACTTTCGATTTATTTCGGAACATTTCCGTGAAGGAGAACAGTTGCACGATTGTCTGGCTGGATCTAGCATTGCACGGAATGCATCTAGATGTTCATGATGTATAGAAAAATTTACCAATTTTTCGGTATAATTGACGTAGATGTGTCCTCTAACTTCAAAACCATGATAATTTGCAACACATATTTTAAATTTACCACCTTATTCTGGTGAGAAGCCGATAATTCGCCCTCTGTCTATTACAACCAAATGAATAGCTGGAGAATATAATGAAAACAGCATGAATTGAATTGAGTTCATATAATCAATTGTTTCGCGTTCTCGTGCAGAAAACTCAATATTTTATTCCAGCGAAAGCAATAGCCTTATATTACGACAAAGATGTTATTAATACGCCAGTCACAAGTAATTTTTTGGAATGAAACGCTGGAGCAGGTATATGTAGAATTTATGAGCTCCGTTGAATGTACGATAGTAATTAGGTAAATGACGGCAGAAGTAGCGTTCTGAAAAAAATTCAGTTATATGCTCATTTCAAGTCGAAGGAAAATCGTGTTTACCACGCGTGATTGGCAGGTTCAACAGACAAGGATAAGTAAAGCACACACGCGAATAATTACTGTGATGAGCCCCAAGGTCTCCGACGTTCAAAACATTGCGTTCAGGACTTCTATTGACGGTCTCTGCTGGAGAATTAAACGTTCACTGGCTAATAAAGTTACGTTTACTTGTTTGTTCCTGAAAATCCGACCCCAGATGCTGTTGCGTCACGGCAGAGAAGCCGAACAGGGAAATGCTTCGGCCGCCCAGGAAACTTTCGCAACACTCGCCACAAATTGGGATCTGGTCGGCTCCGCCGCAAGCTCTAATTCAACACAATTTACTTGAAAACTACAGGTGAACACTATGATACACGATTCTGAAGATACACCGAAAACAGGCAAAAATTACTCATAAAGGAAACATGAAATCGCTAAAAAAAAACAGGAAATTTTCAGAGTTTATAAATCAATTTCGATTACATTTTGCCCCCAATTTACCCAGCAATATCAAAGACGCGCAGTAACTGCAGGTGCAACATGAAGTAGGGTCGGGCATACGGAAGAGGGATAATGCGTGAGAATGCATGCAGGGCAACAAGACGTTGTCGCGGGTGAAGTATTGAAGTATTTCCTGCAGGGCTCGAGAGCCTCACGGTCAGCTTCCAACTCAAGCACGCAACTCCACACAGTCTAGGCTACTTATGCAACGCCTTTCTCCTAGTGCTATTCCTACCTCAATCGTAACATTCATTCAACAGTAAAGCCCACAAGAAGAACCATGAAATATGATGATAATAGTAACGCGAGCAACAAACGACAATTGCAACGATCTTCTTCTCGTCCATACTTCATTTTCTTCATCTCATTCTCAATTTCAAATGAGATGAACACACCAAATGCTAATTGAATAAGAATGAATAATCATGATAGACTACGAGTGGCTTTCAGGACACTAGCGTGTTGTAACAAGACGATATTGCTTGTATTATGCAAGAGGAAATAAAAGTTTCACATCATTAACCCCTTTCAAAAGTGACAATAAATTACGACCATGACTAAGTAAATCTATTGCCCCCATTTCAGGGGCGGTACTTATGACACGGTGATACAGGATTCTTTCCATTTTGAGACGTTTTACGAGAATATTTCTGAGAACAAGAATATTTTAGTTTAGATAATATTGGTTGGTACATACAATTTAAAGAACACAGTATGAACTGAACAGTAGTGTATTTTGAACGATAATGCACTAGAAGCTTTCTATCGTGTAGTCGAGCAGAACTAACGTTGCACTAGCGCTGATAATAACATTAATCGATGAAGGAGTGAATGCGCATGACTTAATTTATGTTTAAGACGGAGACAAACTCTCGACCCATTTAAATACTCAATAACCTAATCGGTCCATAATTCGTTAGTGCACTTGCGCACATGATATCTTGGCAGGGATTATCCTTTTTAGCGCATTTTCTCATTTATGGAAAAAAACGCTATTGTGCTCGTCATGTCCGTCCGTCTGTCCGTGACTTCACGTTTTCGTCGACGAGAAAATGCGCGCCCTGTCACTCACTGCAGTGAATACTGAGTTATATTTTTTTGGTATAACCTGCTTTGTTTTATCAAAAACCAGCGTGCTTCATATCATAAACAGCCTAACATGAACAAATGTAGTCAAAATGAACGCTATTATTAGTGTTCAATATTATCAATCAGCAACATTGCTCGGGTACTTAATTGATTTCTTATGAAATGACGCCAGGCATTAAGGATTAGATCTTGCGACCGACTATAAATACTCATCTAGGGCTAGATATTCCACAAATCTTAGTAAAATATCATGCCCGAACAGAAATAGTTGCTGGGAAATTTTGCAAGGAGTATTAAATCTATTCTATTAAAAAATTGCCATATAGGTAATATAGGCAAAAATTATTTTAGGCGTAAAAATTTTTAATTGTAAGATTAACCTTATTTTCAAACTCACCCTTTACAGAAGCTGTGCTGGGCTATAAGAACAGTTATCCAGGAATAACGTAGATACGAACGAACACTGACACTCGTTACAATTGACACTATAGAACTAGCACTCACTAATAGAGATAAGGCACTAACACTCAACTAAGATCACAGATCTCTGGATTGGCACGGAATATATCGAGATTCGTTAGCAATAAATACGTTTTTCAGGATGAGTACAAACTCGGTTTACACTAATTACTTTCTTCCAAAGGCACGTCAATATTGGAAACAGCCACAAGTTACGATAAAAAATACTCATCTTATTTGAGCAAAATTGGCACCGAGTTCATTATTATTCTTTAATCACACTGAAGACGAAAGGCACTTTCTTGCATAGCATTTGAAAATTATCTAACTGGAAAACAGCTGTCAGTAAGGAAGCTCATGTAATGGAAGACTTGTAACAATGAAACTAAGCAATTCCCATGTTCCGAGCGAAGAAATAAATGTACGTGTATCACCACGAGGCATTCGCTTCCGGGTACCTGAGACAACAAGTTAGTGATTAGGAATTGGGTTCACACTGATCAATTCCTAAGCGAGGCAAATTTCTATGGCTTTCTTTGACATGCTGAAGAGAAATTCCAATAAGTTTACACCAACATAATCTTTCAGTAAGTCACTTTCATCACAAATTTCATAAACTTAACAAGCATCATTTATAGAGTCATACTGCGGGGAAATACACTAAAGCTAATATTACACCGGCAAAATCCATAATATGTAAACACCAATTCACGCACGACAGCAAACTTGTTATATGATTTTTTACGCGTATCGGGAGGGCTTTTTAAAAGGTTTATTAGAGTCCTAAGTTCAGGCGTAGCGCGGCAGAATAGGCCGTAAGTTGTATCTACCCAAAACATAAACTAGCCAAAATTCAAATTATCTCTTCCCTTTACAAAATAAACGTTCCTAGCTTTATTTTTATCTCATTATCGTAAATTGTGAAATGATTAGGCCCGAGGGTTTGGTTATATAAGAAATTGACCAAGTCATGACGTTACGCTCAGCATTTTAAACTCAAAAGGGCCAATCAATACAGTGAATACACAAATGTATATAAGGAATGAACCCTTCCTTCAATAATACATAAAACCTTAACATTGTTTTTCGTATTCGAAGGTCGACAAATACTGTCAAATGAAATAGGTGTTACCTGTTACCGATGTTAGACAATTGACCGTAATATTATATTATCTAATCCACGTACCACGTTCCATGTGATTACCAAAGTTTTTAAAATATAGCAGCCAAAAAGCGTGAGAGTGAAGCAATCAAAATTCAAAACCACTGAAAATTTCTAAAAGTTTGCCAGCAAAAGCCTAAATAAGATCGATTATTGCGAAAACAGCGAATGATTGGTCGCCGTAAATTGCAAGGCATGCAGAAAGCAAAGCGCCCTCTGCCTAACCACAGCGATAGCGATGAACGCACGCGCCTGCCGATTTAATTTTCTACAGAGCGGTGAGGGCTTCAGTGACGCTTAGTCGCTTACAATAATCTCAAGCAATATTGCTGCGCCGATGAATATACAAATAAAAAACACATCTTGTACTATAAATTGATACTATTAATTGGCTCTAGGACTTGAGCTGCGAGAAAAAAAAACATTGGCAGGATTCACATTAAGAAAGAAAACAAGAGTATAGGCAACGGTGCGAGGGCAAGATGTGAGCGGAACATTATCACACTTTTCAAGTTATTTCGAGTTTTATAAGCACTGTTAACACCAGAGGCATAATATTAGGCCTTCAAACCTCATGATTTTTAATTCATGAGTTATTGCATCATTTGAATGTAGATGATACGAGCAACAACAATTCCCTTCAAGTTACACAATATCCACAAACGCACACCTCCTTTGACGACGCCTACCATGCCACTAAACTCTCCACTACTACGAGACATTTCGCTCCAAAACATTGAAAAGCCTGTATCATTGTTAGCCTTCAAGTAAACCGTGAAATGGATAAATAATCACAATAAATAATGCACATAATTATATTTCAAGGATGTATTGCATTATTTTGAATGAGATTTTCGCGTGGTATTAGTTCAAACGCGAATGTAAAACTATTTTCTGTCAATTCATATACTTTTAAAGTTCTCCGCCACGCCTTGTAATTGGTGGAGCAGAGTTCCTTGCAGGCAATTGGCTGAATGGCTGCACCAATGGCAAGAGCGGATGAGGATAAAAAAACAGACACACATTGGAATGTGGGTGCTACTCGCTTGTTCGGCAGGAATTCGACGCCTGGGAGGCAGCCTAGCGTTGAAGCGAACTTCAACCGTATCTTGTTCCCACTAAAATATTAAAGTATTTCAGACTGCATCAGACAATTTTTCACGCTCAATCATCATACTTTTTTACGACAACAAACGTAAAGCTTAGAACAAGTACATTGAACTTAGGGGGGAGAGGATATGGTTGAAGGTTAGGTTGCGTGCAGCTGCAGTAGGTAACTCTGATCAAGCAGTCACTACATATCAGTTCGCGGAACGGAGGAATGTGCTACAATAAATTTTCTTTTCCTTGTTTGCTCAACTCGTCCTCTAAGGCGTACTCAAGTCAGGCATTATTGTGAACAATTGACTGCCTTGTTGTAGAGGTTGAAAACCGCATTAACGTAGCATCAGTTTAAACGTCATTGCGGTCGTTTGGAATGCGAGTTCAACGTAGATGCATATCATTACACCTAGACGTACATTCTTTACGGGATTACGAAATAAATACTTATGAATTATTAAATTTAGATGGTTTGAAAGCCAGCAGTGATGCGCGTTCACGCAAATTACCCTAAACTTTCGAACAAACCTTCCTAAACAATGACATGAATAAAATTGATGAATACGTACGAGAATTGAGTAATATTCGTCCGGACCATCTAATTTAGATCGTTCTCATCTAAATAGTACGAAACGGTTATGATTACTGGCATGAATATAGAAAATATCGTGAAAGAAATGAGTGATATTTATTACGACGACCTATAGGTACGAAGATAGGGTAATTACGATAACGATACAGTGATGATAACGAAGGTGACAATAACACCTAATGTGGTTAGGCGATGCGCGACGCGAAGCCCGCACGGGCGACGCTACGTGACAGCGAAGTCTTTGTTTGTTTATGCTAGTTTTTCTTGCTTAGCTCACGCATTCTTTTGTTGGCCTTCTGTAGTTCTTTGTCCGCGACTTGACGTAGATCTGCCTGCTCCCCCTCACTGGATTTAGCAGAAGAAGGGTTAGAAATTTGTCAGTTACTCACATGAATATTTTAGGAGCATTGATCAACGCTATTTCCTGGAGCAATGTCCGACGGCTGCAGGTGGAGCATCAACACTCATCAGCCCCAGCAATGGCATAATAATGATGAACAATATCATCAGCAGTACCATCAACAACAACAGCAGCAGCGTGAACAAAAACAACAGCATTAGGAAGAACAAAAACAGTATCAACATTAACAACAAAAGCAGTAACAGCAACGTCAACAACTGCAGCAGCAACGTCAATAGCAGCAGTACCAACAGCAACATCAACAACAGCAGCAGCAACAGCAGCACTACCAACAGCAACATCAGCAACAGCAGCAGTACCAACAGCAACATCAACAACAGCAACAAGAGCAGCAGCAACAGCAGCACTACCAACAGCAACATCAACAACAACAGCAGCAGCAACAGCAGCACTGCCAACAGCAACATCAACAACAGCAACAACAGCAGCAGCAACAGCAGCACTACCTACAGCAACATCAGCAGTACCAACAGCAACATCAACAACAACAGCAGCAGCAACAGCAGGTTCGCGGCACGGTAGCACATTCCGGGCTCAGTCACTTAATTTTTTCGGCGACGACTAGAGCTCTAAAAATGGCCGCTTTGATAGCGCCTCACGGCTCGACAAGTTATGTGCTTTTTCTGCTCGCAAGCTCATCAAAAAGAGCCGTCTTGCCTGCGTCTCGTAACCTCGAGACAAATTGTCTCGTGCTTTTAATTCTGATAGAAATTTATTGTGAACCGGATCCTAGTTTTGTTAGGGGCAGCCAAACGGGTAAGTTGGTGACGTAGTGGCCTGTAAAATTGAACTTTCATTGTAAATTCAGATAATTTTAGTTGCCTTTGATATTTAAATCGATTGTTGGGCATACGTTCTTAACGTACTGTATGAGTGCATTTTTTCGGCCACGTTTATAAGGTATTGTAGGCCTGGCAAATGATATAAGTTGGAAAACAGGCTACGGGTTTTCATAGAACTCAGAATATATTGACTTTAGCCCCAGTGCTAATCTTATAATTGATCCAACGGATGTTTTGTTTTGGTTCAAGTCGTACTGGAAGATATTCTGATGGCCCTTGGCCAGGCTTCTGTTTGATTATAAGTTAGTTTATTTTTTGGGGGGGAGGTGGGAACAGACGGTGTCCGTTTTTAGCGCATTTTCTCATTTATGGAAAAAATGCACTATTGTGCTTGCCATGTCCGTCTGTCTGTCTGTCCGTCTGTCCGTCCGTCCGTGACCTCAAGTTTTCGTCGACGAGAAAATGCGCTCTCTGTCACTCACTGCAGTGAGTACTGAGTTATATTTTTTCATGGTATGCGGTGTAGGTTTTTTCTTCTCATATGGGGTTGTACATTCATTTTTATTGGGGTATAGGCACATTTGAACCTGGGAAGTCTAGGACACGTATCTCCGAATACTATCCGCGGACGGCAAAAAAAATTCGGCTGACCGGACCAGAAATGTTTGAAGGAATCTGCCGGCTATACAGGACCATTACAGTAGACCTAAGCATCTTCTCCAGATCCAATAGTTTGCCGATCAATTTATTATTACTATTATAAAAATTATTCTTATCATTTTTTCGTAACAAATTTCAAATTGTTTGAGTCAGATTAATGAAGGACTTAAGATTACTTTAAGTGTCTATATCTCTTATGGTAATTTCAGTAAATTTAGAAGATTGTTATAAAGAATGTACGTTTGTATTATCCAAGCATATAAATTTAAAATTCAGATTTTTAAATGTTCCATTCACAGGGAAATCATCTTTTGAATTAATGAATCTAGATTTGTTACTTCACGAAAAGAATTTTGAACAACTGATATATGTGTAAATATAGCTGAGAGTAGGTCGTAATTTCTGGTAACATAACATCGAAAATAAAAATTCATTTATATAGTGAATCCATGCCATTCCCATGGAAAGGCTATATATTCAGAGTCTCTCATATATTATCTCTCAGTTATGATATCCACGAGTTGTTATACAAAACGCTTTAAAACTTAATCCATTAACACTAAAATCCCTTCAGTGAATTTAAAAATTTGTGTGTGAATAACGTAAATGAAATTCGAGTTGCTTACTATTTCCTGCAGCTCGTCTTCGTTAAATATCTCTGCGGCTAATGTACAGTATATCAATGGTGTAAACTGTAAAGCTCGCGCTCTTCAACATAGTTAAACATTCAGTTCAGACCT